CTCTCCATATCTGCCAGTCTATGGGGGTATAATAGGGGAACCACAACCTCTAAAGGACACAAGAGAATAACATCCTTTACTTCCTACCCCAAAAAACTTGAGACAAAAAGTAGTCCTAGTCCTTGTGCAGTCACTGGCAGAGAACAATGTTCAGGTGGAACACTATAAGACCATATAATGATCAGAGTGGAGTACCAGCCTGTAGATAACCTTCATTAGGAGGCTATTTCTCAGTGTAGAGATAGTTTGACAATCATTAAAAATGATTCCACAATCACTGGTGGTCAGTGGCACTTTAAGATCACCCCCCATACTACTTTTTACAGCTGTAATGGCTGTGATTGGTTTACAGCAATAACAAGGTACAGAGTCACTCTGATTAGCTCTGTACATTGTGACTGTGATCTGAGCTGTCCAATGACATTCATGGGTGCACCGGCCACCTGAGTATTTTCTAAAGCGCAATTTTTAAACTTCTCTTGAGAAATACAAATCTACAACACCACCCATTGTTTTGTTTACAATATAGCAGTAGGGAGACAGTTAAAGAATCAGTCAGGACTGAAATATTAGAGCCGCCCTGGCTGACATTTTTTTTATGGTGCATGTTCCAGGGCTTTCATCATTAACCCGGCTCCATTACTTTTCAAGGCACCAATCTGTAAACAAGCATGTGTATATAGATGTCAATGTGCACAATATTGTTCCAGGTTGCTGATTTGCAAAGTACTGCTGGGATAAGGATCAAAGTTCTGGAATATTCACCTTCAGAAACTAGTCAGCAATGACAGCTCCAATATTTCTATCCTGATAGGTTTCTTAATTAAGTGTAACACCAGCCAGAACTTTATATATAAAAAAAAAAATGGATATGATAGTTGAAGGGTTAGGACCACCATCAAATGTATTCCTATATTACTTTGAGGTTTTTGTCCCATGGACAGGAGGTAGAAGTAAAACATTATATCCCCAAAACAGTACATTTAGGCCTCATTCACACGAGAAACAGCCAGCACGCACAGCTGCATGTGATTAGTACGCAGCCATACGCCGCCCTACTTGTCCGTACAGGTGTGCGTACTCTTACGTTGACAGGAAGGATCCTGTCTGCGTCCGAGCCGGGACACCCGCACCTGTACAGACCTGCACTTGAGGTGAGCGTAGGGCGGCGTATGGGCACGTAATCCCATAGAGAAGGACAGGGGCTGCATACTAATCACACGCAGCACCTGTCCTTCCCAGGAGCTGCCCGATACATGTGTGCACACGGCACGGAGCTGTACGCGCCAGCCGTTTGTGTGAATGAGGCTTTAAATTCTCCACCCAAACCTTTTTTTCTTAGTTTTGGTTAGACCGGAGGAAATTTAGACCCTCGTCGGGTTTTTACTGCTATCCAGGGCTCCACTAAAGAAATAATGGACACTCAGAGATCCAATTCTTTCTCTCTATCCAAACAGGTTTTTGGCTTGACATACAGTTAGAAAACCCGATTAGAATCTTGGCCGTTACATACGTTTATTCTTTATCTATGTTTCCATTAGGAGAAATGTTCCCCAATTGCCAGGAGGCACAACCAGGAGTTGTCAAGGGAAATCCAAGTTTACAGACATCAATAAAATCCTGACATAGGTTCCAACCCTTCCACATAAAAAAAGTATATTAATAATAATAAACCTCCAATATATGTACATTGTTGCAGTTCACCGGTCTGCAACTGGAGAGGAGGTCCTGACTTTGCACTCACTGCTGTAGACATGTCACTCTGAATCCCCAGACTACATATTGCTAAGGAAGTCCAGATCTGTCTTAATGCTTTGAATTCCAAATCAGTCATTACACTAAAAATTCAGAAAAGTTTTGATAGACACTACACATCATCTAGAACAGTCACAAGGTATCAGGTTGAGGGAAATTCCACATGGAGGGCGGTGAAAAGTTGTGAGTACAATTGGGGAGACACTGAATAGGCAATGTTCTCAATTAAACATTTACTATAAAAAGATCACAGTTGCATTTGCCATCTATTGATTCTTTAAAACGTGTATATAAAAGCTAGAACTTTTTTTTAAATGAAGTATGAGAACCTCAGTCAAGCGTTTTCACTGCTGGTGTCCCCTCAAAGATTCACACTCTATTGGTCCCTTTGAATATTGTCTCAGATACAGAAGTTATCGTTGTCACCAAAATCTCAATGGGAAAATCAAGCTTTGGCTATACATACTGTACACTTTAAAATGAGAACTATAAATACTGTGCAGATTTGAAAGTAATCAGGAATGCAGACAGAACTGCGGTGCTCCCGTTTGGTCAGATTTACTAATTATAAGCCTGTCGAGAACATTGTTTCTAAACTTTGTTGAGGATAACACAAGTACATCTGTTATCACTTCTCCCTAAATGTATAAAATATATTTTCAAACAAATCTCCTCCTCTAAACTGTTCTTCTAAACCGTGGTCCCCATCTTCCAAACCTGTGGTCCCCGCAGGCCCCCATCTTCCAAACCGTGGTCCCCATCTTCCAAACCGTGGTCCCAACAGGTCCCCATGTTCCAAACCGTGGTCTCAACAGGTCCCCCTCTTCCAAACCGTGGTCCCAACAGGTCCCCCTCTTCCAAACCGTGGTCCCAACAGGTCCCCCTCTTCCAAACCGTGGTCCCAACAGGTCCCCTCTTCCAAACCGTGGTCCCAACAGGTCCCCTCTTCCAAACCGTGGTCCCAACAGGTCCCCTCTTCCAAACCGTGGTCCCAACAGGTCCCCTCTTCCAAACCGTGGTCCCAACAGGTCCCCTCTTCCAAACCGTGGTCCCAACAGGTCCCCTCTTCCAAACCGTGGTCCCAACAGGTTCCTCTTCCAAACCGTGGTCCCAACAGGTCCCCTCTTCCAAACTGTGGTCCCAACAGGTCCCCTCTTCCAAACTGTTGTCCCAACAGGTCCCCTCTTCCAAACTGTTGTGATGGAAGACAGCATGTGAGGACAAAGAGTTGACAGGGCAACGCCTGCCAAATGTCAGATGGTCTCTCACACTTGACTCAAGCTGAAAAGTCAGAGTAAAAGTAGGCTATACACACATTGCATTCAGGCCAGTTCTTGATAAATCAGATGCATGGATGCTGCCGTCGGCACCATTCCGACTGGCATCCCTCGATCATTTGATCGAAAGAGCATATTGGAAAATTCTGACCAGAGCTAGCAGCCAATCAGCTGATACACATACAAAAGAAACCAGCAGGAGATTCCTTGATCAACGCTCGTAAGTGTTGGAGGAATCTGTGATTTTTTTTTTTCATTCAGCCGGTAGGTGGACGAAGAAAATATATGTGTGTATACCCGACTCAAGCGTTTCATAATAGTATAGTGCAGACTCTGCAAACACAGGGTCAGAATGGAATTTGCTTTGCCCTGTTCTAAATTTCTGCGCACTTTGAGGGCCCTTCGAAATAAATGGAAATGCAGTGAATCGCACTTCGCGCTTGCTGTGCTGCATTTGAACACAGCATACCATACAGACAGCAGATTTTTGTGTTTCATTGCAAAACTAAAATGGTACATAAGTGTCACCACAAAGGAAAGCAAGAAAACACTGCACCACTCAAGTTTAAAGCCATAGTCCACCTTTGGGAAAAATAAAATAAATGCACACACATTCAAGAAAAAAAAAACCAAAGTGCATTTTCTGCATTAGAGCCTGCAAGACATTGCAACCACAATCAGTAGATTGCTGGCGCAATGCACAGGCTCCCGCCACCACACTTCATTAAAACTTATTTGGTGGCAGATGGAACTTGTCGTTTATCATACCAAAATCTATTAGAATGGGCGTTTTGGCTGTGTGGGTGGAGCCATCCACAGACACGACAAATTAGAAAAATACAGGAGCCTGTGGGGACATGCACCCCATGATTCTGGTAAGTATGGAAGATTGGGGATGGTTTCCATGCTTCATTTTACAGTCATTGGGTGCACCATAAAACATGGTCTGAAAGGTGAAGAATGCTTTTAAGCAAACATATACACTGAGTGGCCAGATTATTATGACCACCCCATCAGTACTTCGTTGGGCCGCCTCGTGACTCCACGAGATGGTGAAAGGTGATGCGAGGTATCTGACACTGCACTGTTGCCCTTCTGTTGTCTTGTACCAGTCTTGCCACTCTCCGTTCTGCCCTAACATTGACTAGTCGCTGACGGCCACAATTCGCACGTTCAGACCCAGATTTTCGAATGACAGTCCAGTCTTTAAACACTTTACCAACAGCTGCTCTTGAACATTTAACAAATTCTGCTGTTTTGCCGATACTCGCTCCATGGCTCCGCACCAACAATCATCCCACGTTCAAAGGCTGTTAAATCGCGTTGTTTAATTACCCGTACCTTCAGAAACAAATCACTTCTACTGTCCTGGTAAACAACCTGCTTCCCTATTTATAATGGTCTGGCCCTCTAACAACTTCAGCGCAAAATTATAGCTAATTAGCCTACAAACGTCAGGTGGTCACAATAATCTGGCCACTCAGTGTATACACATCCTCATCCTGATGTGGTTATACCAAGATCACAGTTGCTTCTGTAGCCATGATCTTGGTATAATTTGTTTTCAGCAGACGATGCTTGTAAGTACAAGGGGTCTGGGATGCTATACAGCCACCCATATCACTTGTAAGAGCCTGCGATTGTGCTGTCCCGCCACCATGGTTTTTGGGGGGTCTCCTGTTCCTCTGGGACAGGATGGAGAGCGGAAGCAGACTGAGTAACATTTGTACCCCAATCTGCTCTGTGATCAAAGAAGCAGGAACCGCTGTGTTCCCAAAATATGCTCCAGTGTAAAGGTGGTTAAAACACATAAAACTACAAAGTGAAAATTCAGCCTCAGTCACAGTACCTAAGGCTAAATAAAGGGGCAAGTGTAAATTGTAGGCGTGCCTAAAACATCATCATTTTAACTCTTGGTGGCTATAAACTAAGTCAAGTCATATGGAAAAGACACAAAAGAGAAGGAAAAAAGAAAAAAAAAGATCTTTATTGGAACACATCTGAACATCAGATATACTCTGGTCAGCTGGGTGGAATTTGTGCACCTCTTGTGGGACACTGAAACCCAAAAAGGACATGATCGGGGCTGGGGGCACGTCTTATGGAAGTGGTAACAGGAGCAGCGACAGTAACTTTTAAATCCCTGCAAGCAGCAAACCCGTTTATTTATCAGAAGTGAAGGCTCCCTGATGAAGCTGAACCATGAGCCCCTACAAGCCCCCTTCCAGGCTCCTATAAGCCGGTGTATGACACACAGGACACAGAGCAGTAGAGTGCTATTATATGTGTGCTCCTGGGGGCCCCGGCTAAGCTCTAGCAGACTCTCCCAGCATCCCCACTCCTGATAAATACACAGAAAAAAATAATACCTATAAAACAAGCAAAAAAATGTTCTACCCAAACCCCAGGACTTGGGATGGCTGAGAGTGGACAGTCAGTAAATGTTGCATTTGACCCAGAACCTGGAAGGGGCTCAAGTGCTAATACGGGGTACCCATAAATGGAACTTTAAAATCATTTGGTGACAAGAAAATATGTTGAGGGATGGAAAAAAAAGAAAAAAAGGATTCCCTTGAGCGCCCCCTGCCCCTTTCCCACCATCCCACATGAGGAAGAGAGGTGTCCACTGCTCCTGTTCTGCTTCTTCAAGAGCTGACGCTTTCAGATGGCCTGTAAAATGAAATGAATAAGAGTTACAGATGTACAGATCAACTGTGCTCTTTTATGTAAGCCATCAGCATACATTTTTGGGTTTACTGAGAAGGCAGTAGGCCAAAGAGTAGTCCATATGTACCCACTGCAAAACTATGAAACAAGTCATTAGCAGCAGTCTCCAAACTTGCATTCTAACAGGTTCTCTTGAAAACAAACCTGTATTATTGTCTTATGAGAACAGAAACACATGGTGTGCATAAGGTGCCAGAAAGCTGTCTGATTTACTCTCACCTCCTCCCCTTTTCAATCCTATGGATATAAAACCCTTAAGTCAGTACAATGGCTTAGTGGTTGGAACTTCTGCCTTGCAGCACTGGAGTTCCTGTCAGGACACTAACTGCATAGAATTTGCATGTTCTCCCTTGTTGGGTTTCCCTTACACTGCAAAGGCATGCTGGTAGGTTAATTGGCTCCAGTCTAAACTGGCCCTAGTATATGTGTGAATGTATGTATGCATGCATGTGAGATAGGGACCTGAGATTGTACAAACATGTAAAGCGCTGCAGAAATTGTAGGCGCTATATAAATAAATCTGCATGGAGCCAGGCTCACCACCAGACCTCCTGCTGGGAGGAATGATGTGTTCCTGTCTCAGAATAATAATTAGTTCTTCAGGGCCCTCTAGGGGGTCACTAGAATCCATTCATTAAATCTCACCAGCTAGATGTATATGTATTACAAGAGAGGGCAGGACAATCTTATTAAACAACTTGTTCACAGCTCTGGGTGCAGGACACACATTACACAACACAGACATACAGACGTGATTGTTTTAACATATCCTGCGTTGCCTGAAAAGCAGAAGTAGCAGCATGAATTAGACACGCTTTTACCAATATTGACAACACTGTTATGAAATGTCCTTCCGCTGCTACTTCCTACAACCCAAAATACAAGATCGTCCTTGTTCAGGCAGACATCCCCATTGCCCAACATCAAAGTAGAACAATTGCATGCTAAACTCAGCTGAGCAGCATCAGTCTACTGAGACTCCAGCTCTGGGAAAGTGCAGATGCGTTAAATGATTGCGTCTTGTGTTTCTCAAGACCTACAGCAGTAACATTTCTGCACTTGGGTTCCCAGCCATGCCATCTGGCTACGGCCATTACCAAATTAATATGGAATTCAACAGCCAGCAGGATGATTTTTTTTAAAGAGACACCAACTACAGTAAACCTCAAAAGATAGGTGCCAGCTGGAATTTTTAAGAAGCATTGGTGACCTGGCTCCTGGGATTTGTCCAGCCCTGCCTTATCGTAAACTTGGTGCAAAGTTCTTAATCTTTAGGTGATTGTCAAATGACAAGGAAGGTAGGGATCTAAGAAACACAACCATAGATCGATAATCCGAGTATCCGAAGGATGCAAAGGTGATTGGCTTATTTTTATCTTTCCATTGAACTAGATGGGAATAGGTCTTTTGCCATGCATCAGAGACAATGATAACATTATCACCAAAGCTCCAGGTCCCAACCCACGCCTCCTTACCGTACACCAGTGTTTTTTATTTTTGCAGAAGTCTAGTATGTGAATTCAATTTGGGGGGCCCAAAACAAAAAAAACCAAACACCAACCCCCTTTGCTGAGCCCTACTTCATTTGGACTACAAAATCAGCAAAACGTGTCTCAGTAGCTGTAACCCTTTACATGTCAATCTATGACACCTTCCCCGTCCGAATGACTCACCTATGTAAGTTTCTTGGCCTTGTTGTACAGAGAGTCCACCACTTTGCTCATGTTTTGAATAGTTTCCAGAGCAGCTTCATATGTCTTATCTACAGGAGGCTCATCAAAAATTATCAAGACCCCCTCTCCTTGATCTAGGATACCTGAAAAAGAAAAGAGATTAAGAGATTCACATCATCTCCGTTTATTCTCACATTATATCCACAACATCCCCCTCTATATATATCTCTGCAATGTTTTCATTATATCTATTTCAACGATAATGATCTTATTTTTATTTTACAAAATATCACAACAAACACATCTTAAAATAGAACCGAGGACAACATTTTCTTTTTTTGGGGAGGTTTTCAATAGAGCAATGAATGGGTAGAACTGGCCAGATTTTTATCTCTTTTCAAGTTTCCAATTTAACTCACTTCCAGTCGCACAGAATACTGGGTAAATCACCTCAATGGGAATTAAAAAAAAAAAAGCAGTTTGACTCCCTGTTGAAATGGTATCCCCTTGCTGCCCGTCTTCCCAAAGAAGACACAAGAGCGATAACAATCCAGCAGTGGCCCAACTACCCCAAATTTTGTTAACCAAATACATGCTTTTAACTTTACCAGTGACTAGGGATACTGGTTTTATGATATCGAGTACCGATACTTTTTTTTTGGTACTCGCCGAAACCGAGTATGGATGCCGTGTGCCCACATTATCAGAAAGTCGGGCAGCGGATCATGACCCGCCCGGCTTCCTGATTGCCTGTGTTCTAGCGAAAGAACACCTGCTTCACATGCCGAGGCTGCCTGCTTTCCTGACTAATCAAGTAGTCAGGCGGCCCATCACAACCTGCTTCCCGGCTTCTTGGTTGGCTAGGAAGCCGGCTTCACTTGTTCCTAGGCAGCCTGACTTCCTGACCAATCAGGAAGCTGGGAGGCGAGTCATTACGTGCCATCCGGCTTCCTGATTGGTCAGGAAGCCAGGCTGCCTAGGAACAAGTAAAGCCGGCTTCCTAGCCATCAGGAAGCTGGGAGGCGGGTCCTAACCCACTGCCCGGCTTCCTGATTGGAAAGGAAGCCGACTTCATGCTCCCTCAGCACTTGCGGTCAAAGGGAGATCTCCTTCTGACCGGAAGTTCCAGTATCGGAGCATTTGGGCAAGTACGAGTACTCGCCCAAATACTCGGTATCGGTGCATCCCTACCAGTGACATCACTGAGCTGTACATAACCTGTGCAGAGAACACCTGTGGAAGGGGCCCAGCAGGCTACAGCCACTAGGTTGTCTGCAGAAAACTACAGGAGAGGGGCGGAGACAAGACCAGTCACCCTGCACAAGGAGACAGCAGCAGTGACTGGTCTGTATTATAGTAAACTCCTAAACAGAGGCAAAGGGCAGGAGCTGGTTCAGGCTAGATTACTACAAGGATCTGGAAGATATATATAAAATCGGAAGAAAATTATCAGTATATTGTGGTCTTCTATTGTCAAATATTCTGATAACAAAATTGTGGTTATAACAATGGTTATGATTCAAAGCAGTGGTTTTATCTCTGCGTTATTAATCTACTAGTATCTCATCTAGTCTTGGAGTGTAGCCAAGTCTCACTTTATTACATAGCATATTGTCTTCCATTATTCACATCAGCAGGGTGTAAAACTCAGTCGTAATAATGTGCTTCCTCGTTTGTGGCACAAATAACCACCACAAGACTGTGCAAATAAAGCTTGCTGACTGCCAGCAACTGTTACAACATTTTGAGGGCTTTAGCGCTTTTTTTTTTTAAAAGAAAAGGGGTTAACTAGCAAAAATTATTTAATTACACTCAATAAATATTGCCAAAATGGTAAACTAAAAGCCGTGGTCACACACACTTTCATATCCTTAGAAAATATATTGTTAAAGTGGACCTAGCTTCAGATATATATTTTAGATTGTAAGCCCTCACAGGCAGGGCCCTCCTTACCATATTGTCTTGAATTGTATTGTAATTATAATGTCTTCCCTATATTGTAAAGCGCTGCGCAAACTGTTGGTGCTATATAAATCCTGTACAATAATAATATTATTATTATTATTATTCATAAATGTTAGGGGCATGAAGGTAAAATAATTTTCCAAGTCTAACACTTCCAGGTATTTATTATCTCTCAGAGAGTACAACCCCTGATGAAGGCTTCATTTTCTTTTCAGTTTAAAGACACCCATTTATTTTTCTTTGCTTTATAAACATTTAATAAAGGGCAGAGACATGAAAAAGCATTCATACAGCATTATGGATGTTCTTTAGAGAGAGCAAAGCAAAAGCGGTTTACTTGTAGACTCACATTCTCTCTCTCTCTAATTAAACCTTAAAGGGATTCCTCAAAAAAGGCAGGAAGGTGAGGGAGGGGAATGGTCATGCGTCTGACTCATTGAGTTACATGTAAACATTAGCTTGAGCTACTGAGCTAGCTAAACAGGATACTTTTTTCCAGCAAAGCAAATGGGTAAACATAAAAATTAGCCTAGGGCTCCACTTGCTGGATGGAAGGTAATACAAAATATATCTAAATACAATGTTTTATATTTGCCTGGCTACATAAAAATATTAATTTCTCCTATTCACTTTAAGAGTCTGCCTAATTAAAACATTGAGGAGAGCCGTCAAAAAGTCAGGGAGGGCAAGGAAGGGGAATTGCCATGCCTCCAACTCATGGAGTAACACATATACATTAGCTTTAGCTACTGAGCTATGTAAACAGGATTTTGTATAGGCAAACATGAAAAAAGGAGCCTAGGGCTGCTTGATGGATGTTAATACAACATAACAATGTACAAAAAAATTACATTTGGCTGACTAAAGAAGATTTTTCATTATTTGTTTTGTAGTTTGGACAACAATAAAGAAAAATAACAAAAATCTAAATCTTTTCCCGTTAAGATCAATATTACACAAAATATGTGCTCAAAGAAAGTAAACAGTTTCCCTTTAACAGGCACCAGATCGCCAAACTGTAGAAAGGCAGCGAAGAGTCCCCAGCTTTGATGCGGCCCATAGTTAAAACAGCCCTTCCTTTCCTGCATAAAAGCAAAGCGACAATTCGGAATCATCTAAGCTCTTTATGTAACAAGTATTTAAATGGCCTCCGGGGAGCTCCCATCTTCTTGATCCCTTATCGCTAGAACGCAGACTGCTTTCTGGGCTTCTGTTAATCCCCCTGCAATGATTTGCTAATAAAGTCAGCCCAGATGGCTGTGAATGTCTTGTTTAGCCAAAACGTATCAACATATTAAACCCTTCCCATCTCACGCAAGATTTGCGGCTTGGAAAATAAGTTGCTGTGAAAAGCTTTCTGCCATGTAACCCCGTTTCGGCAGCTTACCATGAAATTTCTTGTCTAGGATCATCTGGGAAAGCTTGCGTTCTACCTCAGGCTGCATGGGGAGGGGGGAAAAATAGATTTAGGTTAATAGGTAAATGTCAAACTCAGTGAAACCACTTCAAAAATGCTTGTCCCTGCACTAGACATTAATAACTCTGAAGTAGGCCCATGAGCAACACAGAAATACATGTCTTATCTAAAAAGTCAAGCCAGGATAAGGTTATAGAATCACAATATCAATTTTTACACTCTATTATATTTAAAGCAAACTTGTGTTTTTCACATGGAGGGAAAAAAGCAAAAAGGGTGCTTAAAATGTTCCTCTGTCCAGCAGCACATGCTTACCGTTCACTTCTGGCCATGAGCAAAGAAAATACCTGGAACATTTAGATAGAGAGGAGCATGTGATGGCCCTGGTGCTTGCTGACTGGTCTAGAACTTTCACAAGTCCTGTGCCCTCTTGAAAGCTCTGCCTGGAGCAATTGGAAGCTTACACCGGGCTCTATTTGCTCCCAGAGGTTGAATAAAGCAAATGCATGTATGTGTGGCAAGGGGAAGCGAAGAAAAGTCATGAATGTGTGGCTGGGGGAAAGCAAAGAAATGGAGCGTATGTGCAGCTGGGAAAGTGAAGGAAAGGCATGAAGGTGCGACTGGTGGGAAGTGAAGGAAAGGCATATGCAGCTGTGGTGAGGAAGAATTAAGTGAACCTGTTTCTTTGACATGCATGGGCAGAGCACATGCTTTCTTTAAAAGAACATTTCAGACTATGTCATTGTTATGCAACATATAAATGGTATAATACTTCTGTTCTTGTTGCTTGGTTTTGTTTGGTTGAGTAACCCAGACGCATTTGTGGTGTCCATTAATTCTTTCTCCACACATGTTGCTTGGAAACAAATATACTAGTAGATGCCTACAGATCTAAACAACCTCATTAATCATGCTATACTGTCAGCTATGCTTGGAGATTATGAATATCTTAAAGAGCAACTTCAGGCAAATCATAAAGTTCACTCAATATATCACAATCTGAGTTCTTAGCACATTAGCGCAGCCACAGCACACACAGACCACCTTACAGGGTCAGTAGGGGTGTACTTTCTCAAGCCTATTTAGTGTAACATCCTCTGACTGCTGCCTACATGACTAATCTCACACACACACGTTGAACTTGATGGACCTGTGTCTTTATTCAAACTCAATACTATGTGACTATGTAATCACACTGGCAAGGCTGCTCTGATTGGAAGTGAGAAACTTCTAAGTACACCCTGTTTTTCATCAGGTGATTCAGGATCACAATAAATACAGTACATACATTCTTCTGTGTCAACATTGGCTTTGTAAGGCAAGTTGTATTTACAGTTCAAGTTTTATTCTGAAGGGTTCACCCAAAATAGACTTGCCGGTTTATAAAAACCAGCTGGGAGAAGAAAAAAAAAACAAAAAAAACACCGCACTCCATGGAGGTGGAGAACTTGCCCATAGGAACCAAAGGTGTATTATCTTTTACTCTGAGCAAATTAAGCAAGGAATTCAATTAGACACTGTGGGTAAGGGAACTTTCTTCTCGTCTGTTTTGTTAAGTAGGCCACAAAGTTTTTAGGATGGGAGTCCCCATTGGTAGCCAGAAAGCCACATTGTGTGAAGCAACATTATACAGCAAAAAGTACACCAACCTATTAAATGAAAGGTTCCCATAATCAAATATTAATACGAGTTTACTGAACACCAGCTATAAATGAGCGAGAAGGGAAGAGAAAAGGAGAGGGAATGTTCAATCTCAATAAAGTACAAGCGGTTTTAGGACTTTATCTCACCTTTGGCAGTTTGATGAGAATGGATATGTGATCAATCTGCAAGGAAAAGAGAACAGCATTGAATATACAAAAAACGCAACACATGTGGTTTGAGATAAATGAGGTTTAAATGGCAAATTAATGCATTGTTAAAGGGGGAGTTCACCCTAAAATTATTCAATGAACAATAATAATAATAAATATTATATACAAACACATCTATCTCTTTTTTTGTTGTTTACCTATATTAGGGGTGCGGTGTCCTTGATCATGTAGTGATTCAAAACTTTTTACTATGCCGTAGAATAAGCAACTGGTGACAGTTGCTCAGCTGACCAGGAATGGCAGCCTACATATTGCTCTTACAGTACACGCTCCTTCCGAAATGTACTTCCTCAAGATTTTTGTCCGTTAGAGAACATTTCTAAATACTAATCACCCAATCAGCACAATCTCCCTCTGCCATGTGACCCCAAAGTCTTACCTGTACTCTGGAGAAAGGTTCAATGACTCGGATAAGGTTCTGTTCCAACAAATTGTCATACAGTTTGGCCAGATGAGTGCTAATGATGGGGTCATCCCGTAACTCTGCTTTGTAATCTGTCAGTGCCTGTGGGAGATAATGAACAGATGTGACACCTCCGTTTATCTGCCGTCATCCTGCTTCCTAACAAACGACATTCAAGCTTCGGTAGAATTTCTTACCTTCTCAAAATTGGCAAGTGAGCGGTTCTTGCTGGCCTGGGCTACACATTTCAGTGCTTCTGTCTACAAGGCAAAGGTGTATTATTTCCTTAGTTTCATATCTTAAATGTCAAAAGTTAGAAAAATTATCTAAGCCCCCACAACCCCCAGCAAAAGTACACTGGTATGACTGCACATAGCATGCCTAGGGGTATCTAGAGGCTATATGTGGGGTTTCTAATTTCGTGCAATAAAGCCCAGCTGATACTAACCTGCCGCCCAGCGTAACGAAGGGCCAGTTTTCCGCTCACCAAGGCCTGCACGTCTTCTGGTCTGTTGAGAGAGCAATGATGTATAAACACAAACTGTTCAATACTGAAATAGCTTATACAGAACCCTATTATCCTGTGAAAAATTGTTCCGATAGAACCAGCAGTTTCAACCAGATTAGTAATGTTACATAATTACTAAATTACAGAAAATCTAGCCATCTTCAGTACTTATTACATCAGATCCTGGTGCTCAGTAACATACAGGATCTAGGCTTAGGGGGCATAGATGTCAACATAAGAATTACCTAAACATCCCTGCATTGACCACAATATCTACACCTGTATGTGTACAGTACTCCTAACAGTTCCATTACACTGCCTGTTCTTAGCTGATGAATGCTAAGTGGCCAATGGAAGGGAGAATTTTTAAGTGTGGTTTTGGATAACAAAAAGTGGTGTCATTTCCATAGATGAGAAAGAAAATAAAAAAAGGTGAAGGACAGAAAGTTCCCTGGTAGGAGGAGGACAATCTGCTCAATTCACTAAGCAATAAGAGTGGAAAATAATAGTCACATTGATGAAAACAACGACCATAAAGTAAGTAACACTTGCTTTCCAATGCAGTGAACTTAGCCTAGAAAATAGCTTTGGTAAACCAAGTATGGGCAAACTTTAGGGCTCCAAAACTTCACAAATCTGCCACCTACCGCAAACTGACAGGCCTGCCCCCATAGCAATCGTTTCGGATCATTACAGGAAGGCCACGCTCAAGTTAAGAACCCTTATAAGAACTTTCACATGAGACAAATAAAAAGCTGTTCAGATCGGGTCTTTGTCTAACCATTCCTGAAAATCATGATGGAAGGTAAGGTCTCAGGCAAGGTGATACATACGTGTTCAGCATGATCTTGCACAGCAGCATGTATTTCAGTGCTGTTATAGCTCTGGGACTGTCAATAGAATCATTGCCCTCAAATGCCTCATAGAAATAGGAGTAAGCCGTTTTCCAGTCCTTCTCTTCTGCTGCGTGGATTATCCCTGAAAAATACAGCACACTAGAGTCACAAATCTGTAACACATCAATATCAGTTATCAGCTTATCAAACCAGTGGGGTCACCACCAGAGACTGGGGCATCCAGGAAACAAGAAAGCAGTGACAATACTGAAGCATGTACAGGAGGTACATAAACAAAGCCCCAAGAAAAGTGATAAGCTCTGAACTCAGTCATACATCAACTAGTTTAAAAAGACAAGTTCAGGCTTATTTAACCATTCAGAACAAAGAGCAATGAAGAGGTTTGAAGAGCTGCAACCAAATCACAAATTAAAAATAATGAAGCCAATATCCGATTATTTGCAATGGGTTAGGATTACCAGCTATGGTAAAAAGGTTTTCTTGGGTAATAAAAAAAAAAAAAAAAGGCAGTCCATCTCCTCAATACTTGAACATTTCCCTACATTGTGTCTTTAAAATGCTGCAGATTCAGAAAAAACATCTGTTGATTCTGTCAGCCATCCAGTGAACTCCTAACTTCCTGTAGTCCGCTGACAACTCTGCCTCTTGGCAGTGTCTTATGGTTTTGGCTGCTGGAGGGAATGGCTCCTGGCTTTGAGACACTAGCCCAGGTTCCTGATCTAGAGTCCATTAGCGTCTGCAGCAAACTACCCAAGCCCTAATGAAGAAGGGTGATTTTTGCACGCTGAAAACTGGTTTGGCTATTTTTAATTTATTGAAGGATAAAGTACATATGTAGACTCCTTAAAGAATGGGTTTGGTGCTCCTGTATTGATTGACTGCATTCAGAACTCCTAAATAGGGTGACTATAGCTGCCGAACCTAGGCCACTGAGCCGAATTATCATTACTCTACCTATCAGCCATAGATCCAGCACTTGTTTTTGTCATATTTAAATTATTTTTCTAGTTCACCTGTTGATTTATCCAATATGTTAATGATTATGAGTTCCATATATTGCAGAACATAACATCCCAATCATTCAGTTCATGCATCTTAACTCCAAGACAGCGCTGACCCTGCATGTTGGTGAGCAGACAGCTAAAGTAAAACAGTTTGGGCTCCTGCACATGGGCGTCCACTCCTGTACAATGTGGCTGTATTTTCCCTACTAGCAAGTCCCAGGTGCTATGTACAGCCCCCAAACAAAGTCACTGGTTTACATGGGTATGTTCACAAGCGTATGCACAAAGACACACAACTCTGGACGCAGACTGCCTGCATGCAGGGTTGTAAGTCCATGTGCGGGTTTACAGACGTACAAGTGTATACCCTCATACAACCATTGACTTTTATGTGAGGCTATACACAGAACCTTGGGCTCCTTGTCAGGGGGAAATACAACTGAAATTACGTTGAACGGATGCAGGCATCCATGTGCATGAGCCCTGTCCCTCCTCAACCCTCATAAAAAGGGTTTATCAGGAGAAACACCCCGCTGATCATTATGTCCTTACATACAAGCAATAAATCAGTCAAAATGATAAATATAGCATAGGCTGCAACAAAAGAGATGTGGAGAACATGCTCATTTGTTTTCTTCAATATGGAATTTGTGATGAAACTATCGGTTTCAAAAAGGCTCAAACCATTTTTGTTACGTTCATCCTCAGTCTTCCATGAGATTATTTGTCCAGCTATAATAAACCAAGGGAGAGAATACTAACCCGACTGCATGTCCAGGGCAGCCTGAAGCTTGGGTGGGCAATAGATGGCGTTGGCTGTAGTACGTGCAGACGTGAGTGCTGCTCTGGCTTTTGGTATGTTAGTAAGGCCATGGTAGGTCTTGCTCTCCAAGAGCTGAACTTCCACCAAAAGGGCTTTGTCATCCATCTTTTTCAGCTCTCGTAAAAGCTGTGACCCTGGTTGAGGTAAAAAAAAGTAGAATAGGTGTTTAAATTGGCACCATCGTGAAATAAAAAAATGACATTGTTTTTATTTTATTACTAGGAGAAATACAAGAAACGGTCAGGAAACACTGCTGGATAAATCAAACCACAAATTTCATCTACATTGGTTAACATGTTCCTTTCTGTGCAACAGCTTCATCTTTCACCTCTGCCCCACCCTACACCCCCTTTAATATGATTTTTTTGCACATTTGACCTGATTGTGTGAACAAGTAAAGGGAGATCTTCTTAACGTCTGTAAGTTCACAGCGATGACAGATTTTGGAGCCAGTGGTTTGTCTAGAAGAGATGCTGATTTAACCCACACAAAAACAGTGAGCTCAGCAAGGAGTAATGCAACAAAACAACTCCTGTGACCTTCAGCCAAACCTCCTAATTTGTGTCAGTGGATAAGCACAACAGGACACTCCTATCATTTATCATGCTGTTATTTTATCCACTCCGTCATTCATCCAAAGATCTTTCAAATATTCCACCTACCTCCTATCAGACCAGTCTTTCTGTTTTACATTTTAGCAAAATTGTAGGTAATCAGGTGTTCTGGGAAGACCAGTTGCTGAGCCATGTGAATATGCAGCAAGATATTCCCGATCTAGCCTCTCTTCTTAAAATAGCAAAAATAGGTAAAATAGCATCATGCGACAACCTAGATTAGCACCCATCTACACGCACGTTTAAAAGGAGCACATGGGATATTACAGCAGAATTGAAGTTGGGGGGGAGAGAGAATAGGAGGTGGAGGTTTTTGACAGAAGAGACTTTGTATGTTTCTTCTACCAAGAAAATATATTCCCTTTTATTTTTCTAATGGTTTAATGGTAAAGCCAAGTGATAAGGTAACTGCATGCATATGTGACAGTTACATCATCATCAGTGGCCACCCAATGGGCCAGTCCAGAAAAGGAGCGTGGAGCCAAGGAGCACAGACCTAACATCGCTGGAGGAGGGCAAACTAAGAGATAAGTCTGCCATACTGTGGAAGTATGCTATGGTGTGTGTTATGCTATGCTACTGTTCTGTAAATGCATTAAAAAAAGTTTATCTTTTTTATACCTCGACTATAGATGCATGCTTTCTTGCACATGCTAGAGCTGACATTTTAAAAGGTTATTCAAAATTCAGGCTTCTATGCTATCCCCCACACTTAAGTATATCTGTCACAAGGGGATGACATAAGCCATGGCTTACCTCTCCTTTTCAGAATGCTATCTCCTTTGGTTATTATGCTTATTCTTAGGCATCAATACTTGAAGTTGATGCTCCCAGAACAGGAACAGAGATAAGGATTTCTGACACCCATTTACAACAAGCTTTTTCCAGGTATGCGATTCGAAAGTATAGAGGCCAGGCAACTAGCAGAAAGGGCAGCACCCATATGTCTCTCATGACAGGTGTACATTAACTATTAGACCTTGTATGCATTAGCAATAAATCAAAGTGCTTTCTGAGAGTTTAGGGCCCCATTCATGGCCGGGGATTCCTGCGGTAACAACCTATGTTTTTTTGCAGCAGGAATCCCAGGTGGGTCCATACAGATCCAGCCGCTGTGCCGTTCAAGTGAATGACAGCGCAGGCATTCGTCAGTGGCTGTCCGCATGCAATTGTACATGGACGAATACCTGCGAGTCAGGATAGATGATTGTCCCTGGACACAGGATAGAGGTGTCCATCTGTACGGACACACCTGGGATTTCTTTGGTAAGAATCTGCAAGTTCCTGCTGCAGGAATCCCCAGCCGCAGCCTTAAGCCCTATGTGAATTGGGCCTGATGAAATATAAAAGATGAGGTTACAACGAGTAAAACGATACCCAACATGCCCAGTTTACAGATTGCGTGCGACCGTGAAACGGCGAAAAACTGCAGTACCCCAAAAAGTCAATAAAAGACGCTTTAAAAGCCCCCACAGGTCATCAATTTAGAGATACCCCAAAATACTGGCCCTAGAATTATTGCTCTCACTCCGGCGTGCGCGGCGATACCCAACATGTGTAGCGCGTTTGTCGGTTTCATACGTAGGCGCACCCGACGCGTGTTTACGTGGCGACGCGCGTGCTCGCGGGGGCGGGGGACTTTTAAATTTTTTTTTATTATTATTAGATTTATTTTATTTCATTTTAATTTTAAAAACTGTTTTTTTTTTTTTTTTTACTTTACTTTGACTGCTATCACATGGGGGGGCTTGCAAGCCCCCCCATGTAATAGCAGATGGTGGTGACAGGTCCTCTTTAAGGTGATGCTGGGGGTCCAAAAGACCCTCAGTGTCACCTTTACACTAGAAATGAGCTATTGAAGTGCAGATCGCACTTCAATAGCTTAGACCTGGGCTGCAGGAGCCCAGAACTGACAGCCCAGGGACCGGAAGTGATGCAATCTGCATCGCTCCCGGTCCCATAGAACGGGGAGGGGATCGATGAACGGAAGTTCGTCGACCTCCTCCCCAGCTCCCCGCGGACACAAAGATCGCCGGTCCCGGGCCCGTAGGAGGGGCAACGGAGCCCGGGAAGCACGGCGGGGGTGTCCGGCAGGGGGGGGCGGCCCCTTCTTCGGGACGCAGAAGCGATCTGGCGACAGGTAAGTCGCCAGGATCGCTTCTGTTGTAAAGCCGACAGTCGGCTCTACAAGTTTAAACAGAGTCCCGGCGGCAAAAGTCGCCGGGAGTCTGTTTAAACAGCCCCGATGCTGGCGACGTACACTGTACGTTGTCAGTCACGAAGGGGTTAAAACGCAGTAATTATTCTACTTGGAAAACCTATTTTAAGCCCTTAAGGACCAATCATGGAATTATTTTGTCATGGTTGTCCGTGCCAGAAGGACCCATGACGCAATAATTCCTTCATGGGTCCTTAAGGGTTTAAGCTTCCATCATGCACTAAATGAGAACTTATATATGCATATGCCACATCAAATCAAAGCCCCTTTTGTCCTTAAAAAAAACGGTATATAATATGTGTTGGTGCAATAAATGGGAAAGATGGAAATTGTAGTAGAATACACACAGCAAAAATTGCTTTGGTCCTTAACTGAAATACAAGCATCTGAAGCTTGGTCCTTAAGGGGTTAATAAACACAGGGGACTCATTTTTCACATGCTAAGAATTTGTTTAGAAATCCTAGACTGCTCACAACAGCAAGATAGAAGCTCATTGATAAGAGTCACAACACTGAGGTACACTAGGGGAAGAGAATCGTTATATTATAGAGACAGGCTGCCATCTTATGGATTACATACCTAACTGCAATGCCTCTTGGTAGCGTTTAGTGTCGAAATACAGAGAAACAAGTCGAGCCTAAAACAAAGCAAAGTGTTCTATTAGAACTTACACTTAAGAGGTAACTAAAATTTGGAAACATTCAGAAAGTTATGTCCATTTGGCATCCTTTCTCACTGTATACATTTTTCTGAAGCAAATACTTTTTTTTGTGAACCTTTTGCATAGTTTCTTACATGGACCTCCTACCAGTAGTAGCACTTGCTGCTTTAGAATGACAACGCTAAGCCACTACCTTCCAATGGCAGCAGCGTTGTCAGCCAGCTGTGTGCACTTAAGTTGGCTGTCGGGCTACTCAACTGATAGGCAGCCCAACAGCCAATGTAAGTATGCACGGCAGGCTGAAAATGCTGCTTTTAGTTTGCAAGGAAGTGGATCAGCGTTGTCAGTCTGAAGCAGAAAGTGCTGATATGGACAGGATCTCCAGGTAAAAAAACTTTGCAACAGATTAAAATAATTTAACACCGGGCGCCTTTCCTGGTGCAAATAATCCTTTTAATTTGTTTAGAAAGATTAAAAGTGATAAATGGTACTCACAAAAGAGGTGGATAAAAAGCGTGTTGGACATAAATCTCAGGATACATGCAGATTCCTAGCAGTCAGAGAAAACAATCCAAATATGCTGCTAGACCAGCAGAAACAAGCTGACTCAGATATTATACACACACACACTTACGAAAACTGTATACAATGAGACATGATGCCAAACATACTGAAAAATACATTAAAGGTTTGCATACACTTTAATTTAGAAATAAGGTCTAACAACAAAGTTAAATATAATATAAAACCAGCTTTATGCATGTGTGTGCATCAATCAGTAAGGGACTTATCCAGTATTTTCAGCGTGAAGGCGCCATACCAGAATGTCAACCAAAGGAGGTGAATTAGATTGGCATTTTTAAAGTTATAAGACATGTAATTGCCACACTTGCCTCCAGTGCTTGGCGTAGAAAGGTCCTCTTCTCAGCCTTGGCCCATTCAATGCATTCCAGACAAAGCTCCACCTGAAATACAAATGGTATTGCTTACACATGTGCTTCTCATAGTCCAGTAACTGAGGCCTGTAATTTTGTTTTTTTGAGCCAAGAACTTGGCATCAGGTAGTTTCTGATTAGAGAAGTAAAGTGAGCCCCCCGACACTTCCTGGCTCATAAAATTAACCTCAGACTTAGGCTGACCCCAATGCTTAACCCTCTACTCACAGAAGCCTTGACACTTAGGCTCATTCATATGGGCGTGCACATGCGTACCACAGGCACACCCATGCAGAGACCTGCTCCTGGGAGGGAAAGGTGCAGCATGTAATTGCATGCAGCCATCTGTACATCACTATGGGAGGACGCGGCCGCACGCTAACCCAAGCCTGTATGTCATATTAAAGCTTTAAAATAAAAGCCCTACCTAAAGCCAAAGGGGCTGGCTGATACCCTGAAATGTTTCCTTTGTGCCCCTCTCATTTAATTTCAGATTGTTACTAGAGCCAAGTTAGCGGCTAAGCCTTGTCAACTGCCAGATTTCAGTGTCCAAGGACGAGCTCAGGGTCAGACCTAACCCAGTCCAAACCTTAGCTCATCTGAACATGGAAGATACAATTAGCTGCAGGTTGGGGCATTTCCCACCCTGCAGTTGACCATAGACAAAAGGGGCAGGATGCTTGTGCTGACACCATTCATCTTATATGGCCACATGACCACCATATTAATTCACTGTAATTTACAGAATATAGACATCAGTCACAGAAAGTCAGGCCCTCAGTAACAAAGTACCCAGAGCACCCAATTCCAGTGCCGAAAATCACTGCTTCTTCAAAGACCTAATGAACAGTCAAAATCCAAAGCAGACAAATGCTCCTCTGAGATGACATCGCACCTTTACTACTTCCCAAAACTTATAATTCCACAAGACCAGAACCATGCACTCATGATAACCAATGGACAGTACCATCTTGTCTGCACTGTAGTAAACATCTATTGCAGACTCCCATCCCAATGCGTTACTTTGACTTGCCCTGTACATAGACTTCTTATGGCTGAACACTTTTTACTTGGGTGGGCAACTCCAGCCCTCAAGTTGATGTGGAACTACAAACCCAAGAGGCATTGCAAGACTGACAGTTACAGGCATAACTCCCAGAGGCACGTTGGGATTTGTAGTTAAAGCACAGCTGTAGAGCTGGAGTTGCCCACCCCAGCTTTTTACATATATGGGAGGCCTCTTTCTCACCTCTTGTCCAGTCGCAGCCTCCATATCTAAGAACAGGTCCAGCAGAGACCGCACCAGTCTGGCTGCTTTGGCCTTACTGATGGAGTTGAGGAAGGGACGCACATACTTCAGGAGACCACCGAGTTCTGTGAAAGACAGGAAAGTGAAGTCAGATGACTGCTGTGGACCAATGACTACATGAGAGAGAATCTGGAAAATGGGAGCACAAATGCTAATCACTTACAAAGATGGATATGGGCTTTAAAAAATAAAATAGTGGTCAAAACAGAAAAAAAAAAAATTTGTCATTTATTTCACATATTTTTATCTATAGATTGTATAGTAAATATAAGTTTTAAAACAATATTGCCAATAGAAAGCCTGGTTGTTGTATGTATTACTTTATGCCAAGTACAAAGTTATAGAAAAAGTTATCACCAAATAAAACAGGCCCGAATGTGGAAGTGTAAAAATTGCTGTGGTCCATACAGGGGATGCACGTACGAGAGCTGGAGTGGTTAGGAATCCATTAGGAGGATGCACAATACAGATTGCATGCACATATACATTCTCTTTGGTGCCAGGACCCAAATAAAGGCTTTTGGTTGATGGGCCTTGAAGAATTTGGCCCGATACTTTTGGCATTTACAAGTTAGGATCAGAAGGGCGTTAACTTGATGAAGGGATTAAAGGCCAGCCGCATGTTATTTTTGTATTGAGGAAGGGTTAGACCTTATTGCTGTCTGACATCATTTGGGAGCTCATCATCTCACCTTTCATCCCTGTGACAGCAGGACAAAAAGGGAAGCAGGGCCTGCCATGGTAGGAAGGCAAAGACAGCAAAGAAAAGCCCGACACTAACCCACTTTATAAAAAGGGTTATTGTTGAGGTCTCATATTTGAGACAAATTTCCATCACTTCCTGCCTATTATTATTATACAGGATTTATATAGCGCCAATAGTTTGCACAGCGCTTTACAATATAAGGAAGACATTACAGTCACAATACAATTTAAGACAAGATGGTAAGGAGGGCCCTGCCCGTGAGGGCTTACAATCTAAAAGGGAGGGGCAAGTGATACATGAGGAGC